TGGGGGAGGGAGGACTCAGCAAGTGTGGGAGTGTTGTCTTTGGATGCTCTATTGTAAATCAGTGTGTTACTATGAATAAGTGTCACATCTGTGTCTGTACAGCCTAGATGTGTGTGTGTGTGTGTGTGTGTGTACCTGTGAAGGTCTCCAAGCACATAGGGAAAAAACACAAACAAAAACTGATGTGAGAATCAGAAGACCTGGATACTACTCTGTTTCATTTACTTCCCGCGTGACCTTGGCTAAGCCTCCTAGCTTCTTTGAGTTTTAATTTCCCTTTCCATAGATGGGAATCACAGCTTTGCTTATCTCTGGGAGTGGGGCAATGATAAAACATGATAATGCTCTTTGTGGACTGTAAAGGGCTGTAGCCATGTGCGGTGGTGCTGTCTGTGTGGTGTGTGGTTGAGGGAGTGTTCCTGAGTGTGTACTTGCAGGGATGTGCAAACCCTTGGTAATATGGTATCCTTAATACACCGGGTCTGCTCCCTGTGGAGACCTTGGGAAATTATCCAGTACATAGAACAAAATAGTCCTGGAGGAGCTGAGGGGAGGCTGAGAAAGAAAGCAGTGTAGCTCTCCTGGTTGGAGGTGGAGGAAGAGGGGAGGTCAGGATAAAGCATCTGTGCTTTCTCCCTGATCTTTATGGGAAAGAGGCAAGGTTGGTGATGCTCTGGTGTGGTTCCTCCCCTGTCTTGGACAGGGGCCCACTGAGGGTTTCCTCTTGCTCAGCTCCCATCCTTGCTGACCCGAGGGAGCAGCTCGACCTCTCTGCACAACAGCACCATCCGCAGCACCATCTACCAGCTCATGCTTCACAGCCTGGACCCCCTGAGGGAAGGTAAGCAAGGCCTCCCCAGACACCCACATCTGTCCCATCCACTCCTTCCCTCCTGTAGCTGGAGAAGAACTGGGACCTGAAAATCCGAGAGGCAGTGAGGAGGGGGTGGGAAGAGAGAATAAGCAGAGGAAAGAGTGGGTAGTAAAAGTCAGACAGTCTGGGAAAGAGGGTAGAGACCAAGACGGGTCTCACCAAGAGAGGGCAACAAGGAACATGAAAGCAAATGTCCTTGAGTATCCACATCCCGCTACTTCCCTGCCTCTGTCCCTCCCTATAAAACGAAGGGGTTAACCTGCAGCTGTGCTCTGCCCAGGGCTGGGTTGGGGCTGCCCTGCAAGGCCCACTGCCCAGGAGTCAGCCCCAGTGTTCCACGGAGAGCGTCTAGCCAGACAGCTTGACCCAGGCTGACTGGCCTGGGCTGCTTCTGGGGACATCGCTTGTAGGGTCCCAAAGCCCAGAAGTTCTTAGTGGCACTTCCTTTTGCTTTATATTCAACTCTGGAGTCTTAGGAAACCTGTTAACTCCTCCTCCAGTCAGGAACCCTGAAGGACACCCTGGAAACTGCCAGGAGCCTTCTAGGGGTGATGAGGGTAAGAGCAGGGCCCAAAGTACAGCGGGGGGCTGTTGTCCAATTTGACAAATGGTGGCAGTGGCTGAGATTCTCACTATGCACCTTACCAAATCCTGCCTTCTGCTTCTCAAAATAGTTGCCCGATGCATCTCAGACCCCTAAAGGGCACCTCTCAGTTACTTTCCTGCTCTCCTTGAGCCCCGCTGTCTCTGGGGCTCTGGTGCAGAACCGGAGCCCAGCCAGGAGACCCATCAAGGAAAGGCTTGCCTTTGGACAAAAGCCAAGGGCTCGGACTGCAGTTGGGCAGGAGGGCTGAGGGCCAAGCTGAATATGACACCACAGAATGATCCATTGAGTCCCAGGGAGCACTCTGACTGACCTTTCTGGCTCAAGGACAGATTTTTGGGACTCAGAATTTTCTTTAGACTCTGAAGTCCTTTTCAGAGACAATATTTGGCTTGTCAGTTGTTAAAAAAAAAAAAAAAATATGGGCTGGTTGCAGTGGCTCACACCTATAATCCTAGCACTTTGGGAGGCTGAGGTGGGGGGATTGCCTGAGCTCAGGAGTTCGAAACCAGCCTGGGCAACACTGTGAAACCTCATCTCTACTAAAATACAAAAAAATTAGCCAGGCGCACCGGTGGATCCGTTTAATCCCAGCTACGCGGGAAGCTGACACAGGAGAATCGCTTGCACCTAGGAGGTGGAGGTTGCAGTGAGCCGAGATTGAGCCACTGCACTCCAGCCTAGGCAACAGAGTGAGACTCCATCTCAAAAAAATTTTAAAAATTAAAAAAAAAAATACTGTGAAAAGCTACATCAGACAAGTGATGAAACCTTCCTTAGGAATTCGTCAAGGTAAGAACAGAGGGAGAGAGAAAGGGAGAAAAAATTAATCTAAGCTGCTAATGGAGCTGTTAGGAAAAAAAGAGAGGGGGGAAAAAAAGAAGTAAAAAGAAATTTCTGAAGGTAAGCCTCAGCAGACATTGCGAGAGAGGCCTTCCACAAATGTCAGCCCCAGAAAGATGGTACCTCCGGGGTTTGCGGAATGGAAGCTGCAGCCCCTGGCAGCCTCCGGTGATGAGTGCTGGGGGGCTCTGGCCTCAGCCCTGTGAGGAAAGCTCGATCTCTGGGTCAAGAGTGGCCACTCCCAGAGGAATCACTGACTAGTGAAGTCCTGACAATAAAGACCTTCTCTTGGATGGGACTAGAGGGCCCCCAGCTGGGCCACTTGCATGACCAACAGCCTCCAGCTGGCCTACTTGTCCTAACAGGATTACGTGATGTTCAGGCCAGGCTGAGGTCAGAGGAGATTGATGTTAAAGCGATGATCCAGCCACGCTGAGAGAGGAGAAGCGTGTGAGGAAACCAGTGCCCAGGAACCAGCAGCAGTCATCCCAGGGAGGACGAGCATGCTGGTACATTGTCTCTGGGCGTCTTTGGGACAGGAAATGGCTCTCACAGTGCATGACTGCAGATATCCTCTGGGATTCAATCGTGCTCAACAGCCCAGCCTGATTCTACACCCTGAGACTATGTGCGGGAGGGGCGGGGACCGTGAAGGGCTGTGATGAGGGCCTTTATTCCCCAGACTCTAGATGCACATTTGTGTTTACGTATGCTGTTTCCAGATGGCCATCCAGATGTTTCCACTTTTTCCAGGTGTTCAGCTCTTTCCACAGAGCTGATCCGTGGAAAAGACGTTTCCTGGGGTCTAAACTCTCACCTTTCTGTGAAAGGGCTTTTCCTCTCCAGGGTCCCATGCCTCTTGCGGTGATTTCACTTGGATATGTGTGAGACAGGGTGGGGGAGACCCTGCAGCTGACCTGCTTTCCTCAGTAACATGGGAAGTGAGAGGCTAGGCTGTGAGGGATGAGAAGGAAAAGTGGAAGCTTGTTTTTTGCTAGCCCTTCCAGCCAACAGTCTGCAGGTACTCAGTGCCGAGACCAGAGCCAAGGGAGCCCTCCTGTGACAGCAGCTACACGTTGCTCAACAGAAGGCTTCAAGGCTTGATTAGTGCCAAGGGGGCACTGGGGTTGTCTGCATGAAGGAGGCAATGGTGTGTTGGCCCCTGACCTCCCAGTTCTGATGAGGACCCAGGCCCACCAGCCCACTTCGAGGGACCACAGGTGTCATAGTGGCGGCTCTACCCATGGAGCTTATTGCCAGGGCCAGCTGCAACTGAACTGTCTCTGCGAGTTTAGGAGAGAGGTGGAGAGGAGGAAACTCCAGACCCATTTATCTGTTTTCTGCCCATCCTGGAGCCGGGCAGAGGCTTTGATCCACCCAACTTCCCAGATTACACTTTCCAGCTTCTCTGTTTCCTCTCGGTTCATCTGTACTACGAACTAGATGATCTCCAGGGTTCCTTCTAACTCAGGCCCTCTGGAATGCTGGGCATCGTCTCTGTGGGGTTGCTTCCCAGGTAGGACAGCTGCTCTCAACTACTCCAGTCAATTTGTTTTCATCATTGTTGTTGTGTCATTACAGCTGAAAGTTGTATAGTGCTTTCCAGATGTCAGATACTGTTTTGAGCATATTCATGTATAAATTCACTTGCTCTGTCACCAACTCTGGGAGATTTTATAGATGAAGAATCTGAAGTACAGAGAGCATAAGGAATCACCCAGTTAGGTCCACAGCTATAGCGCAAGTGGCAGAACTAATATTCAAACTCAGGTCAGCAGGCTCCGGAGTCCATGCTAAAGTAACAATAGGAGTGAGGCCAGCACTTGCAGCAGTGAGGGTGTTTTTATTTATTTTGTCTCATGAACCCCCATCACGTCAGTGCCTTGAGGATATTATGGTATTACCTTTTTAGAGAGAGGATGCTGAGGCTTAGTGAGGGCATGCAGGCTTCCCAAAGTCACCCAGTGCTTATGGGGCAGAGCCGCCTAATTTCAGAATAGATCCCATAGATCCCATGACACCACTTTGGTTTTTGTTTTTGTTTTTGTTTTGAGACGGAGTCTTACTCTGTCATCAGGCTGGAGTGCAGTGGCACGATCTCAGCTCATTGCAGCCTCCACCTCCCAGGTTTAAGTGATTCTCCTGCCTCAGCCTTCCAAGTAGCTGTGACTACAGATGCACACCACCACATCCAGCTAATTTTTGTATTTTTAGTAGAGACAGGTTTCACCATATTGGCCAGGATGGTCTCGATCTCTTGACCTCGTGATCCGCCCAGCTCAGCCTCCCAAAGTGCTGGGATTACAAGCATGAGCCACCGCGCCCAGCCCAACACCACTTTGTTCTTATCACTTGTCCCACTGCCCTCACCCTCCCAGGCCACACAGCTGTGCGCTCCTTCATCTGAGCCTTGTTCCTTCTTCCCCTCTCACCTTGACATTACACATGTAAAGTACTTGCATGCTTCCTGTCACATAGTCACGGTGGAAGAAAATTGCCTGCCTTGTGTTTCTCGCCTGGAAATCAGGGCAGCACAATTCTGTGCATGCTGCTCTGTGGGCCTCTAGGAAAGCACGTGCACAGGAATCTGAAGGGGGTCCTTCTCAGGCTCTTATTGTGCCTGGGGTCAAAAAGGGTGTGGCTGAGAGCTTCTTGGTGAATAATTTCCCCTTTTCTACTGGAGATGGAAGGTTTATGAACATGGCCATCGGTCGTCCCCTTGGAGCTATAGTAGAGCTTCTTAGCTACAAAGATACTATAGTCCAAAGGTGGCAAAAAACATCTCCTTGCAATTATTTCTCCATTTCATGTTCATCACAGATATTGCCAATCAATCATGGTACTTTCCTACGAAGCCTGGGTCAGAGTCCTTCTCAATTCAGTACCCAGGCAGGCCATCACTTGAACTTGTAAAGGAAATAAATCCTATTTCTTGGCCCTGAGTCCAACCATGTCATTTTACCAGAGAGGAAATAGGCCGTGAAAAGGGAAGTGACTTACCTTCGGTCACGGCCAGTCAGTGGCAATGCAGAGAATGTTAAGACAAATCTTTGGGAATTAAGCATCACAAATGGGCCTAGTAGGATCAGAATCCAGGTGTCACAACCCCCGGGGCAGCCTTTTCCCACATTCTGCAGCTGCCCTCTGGCTGCTCTGCTGACTGTCCTAACTGAAAGGGTGTGGCAGGGATGATCCTGCGATCCCAGGTAAGATGTATATCCTTTCTCCTTTGCAGTTCGCCTCGCCAAGGAGAAGGAGGAGGAGAGCTTGAATCAAGAGGCCAGAGCTCAACCCCAAGCCAAAGCAGAAAGCAAACCAGAGGGTGAGAAGATGGCCACACCAGCGGGTTTTCTCCTGCCCACTCTCCCTGTTGTCAGTAGTGAGTTTGGCCTGGAGGTGGCAGCCAGCCAGGCCAGGGGCTGAGACACGTCTTTGTGAGCCAGTCAGAGTGAGGGTCAGATATTGCCCTGAATACCGCTCCGCTCTAGACTCCTCCTTCCCAGGTGCTGTCTTGCTGACATGGCTGCTGGTCTGAGAGTGGCCCCATACAGCTTTCTCTCCATTTTCCTCAGGTAGGGTAGGCAAGGGAAGGCTAGAGGATTGTTGAACTTCTACTTCTTTTTGCTAAATCTCATCCCAAATGAGACTATTGGATTTTATTTCTTCTTCTTGTCTCTTCTGTACAAGGACAGTGTTGCTAGTTACTGGGTCTGAAACCAGCAACCCCAGTGAGGGAAGGCTATCAGGGGTCTGGTGTCCCTATCTGTGTGGCAGCTAGGACTGAGAAAGTGGGACAGCCACTGCCATGTGGGCTTTGCACAGCACACTGCCTGATCCATCCAGCTACCCTAGAGAGAGGTGGAGTAGCAGTCATTCTTCCCATCCTATACACATGAGGCTCAGAGAGGTCAAGTGACTTCCCAAAGCCACACAGCCAAGAAGTGAAAGAACCCTACCTAAACCTAGCTTCCCAGACTTCCCAGGTTTCCCTTCCTGTCAATCCTGTTCCAAGGCTTCAAAAGCTACTGCCTTTGGAATCAGGCAAAGGGTCAGACTCCAAGTGCTGGGAGCTTTGCCCTCTGCCTGTTCTGGCTGCCCAGCTGTTGACAGTGTCCTTGGCCACAATGGCCAGGAGGGAAATGTCTGTGAGTTACAGGGGAGCAAGAATGGTCACTTGCCAGCTGTCTGCTCATCTGCAGATAGGTCAGGGCAATAACAATTCACATCATCTTTCTTTTCCTACCAGCAAGAAATTCCCCCAAATAAACCTTCAGAAACCCTGAAGTCAAATAGCTTTGCAGCCACTTACGCCAGTGTCTCTACCAGCTTCCCTCAGAGCCTTGTCCACTCTTCTAATGTAGTCCATTTTATTCTTTAAAGAGGAGGAGCCAGCCAAGTTCCCTGTGGTCACGGTCACATCAGCCCCTGCTCCAGACATCAAGGGAGATCAGAAGAAGAATCCGGGTGGTCAGGTAAGCACCCATCCTTTGCACAGATGAAACTGGAGAAGTCCAGGGAAGGAGTTGCTGACCACAAATACATCCTCCCTGAAGGTCTGAAATCCTATTTGAGGTTCAGTCCTCTAGGGGTAAATATTACTCTTTCTCTGAAGATCATTTCAAAAATACCAATATCTCATGGAGCCAATTAACTCACTGGAACATCTTAGTATCAGTGAACTAATATATTGACAATGTATTGTGAACTGTCACATGCTATAAGAACATAAGGAATAATTGTTAGTGGGTCTCTGTCAGCAACTAGGCGACAGTGAGACCAGGTAGCTCAAGAGCACTGGGAAGCTTGAAATGCAGATAGGAGGGTTGCTGGGTGAAGGCCTTCGAACCTGCTGAGGCTCCTCATTGCCTACTGCACCTGGTCAGGCTTCCCAGCCTTGTCTGCAGAGCTTCCTAAGTCCTGACACTGCTCTGTCTTTACAGCTCCATGGTCTCTTCTTCCACCATGTTCCGGCCAAACTAGATTTCTTGTCTCCATGTTTTTCTACCTCCCAGCTTTGGCTCACATGGGAAGCTCGAAATGCAGGTGGGAGGGTTGCTGGGCGAAGGCCTTCAAACCTTCTGAGGCTCCTCTCCCTAGAATGCCTTTTCTCCTCCATTTTCATATATCCTCATCTTGTCACGCACTCCCAGCCTTCTCCCTGGCCTCTGGCCAGTATAAACATCTTTGTCATGTAGCTGCCTTGATCCGCTCCAAATCTAAATGCCCCTGGCACTCTGCACCTATCTCAGGGCTTTTGCCAATTGCCTTTCTTGTATCCTGAGCCTACTAGGTGGTGAGGTTGCTGAAGGCAAGATCGAAGTCTGAGTTACCCCTGGCTCCCCTACAGAGGGAAACAGAATGCCTGGTACACAGTTGTGCTCAATATATGTTGAGTGACTGACAGTAAAAAGCATTCCATTTGCAAGTTCCATCTCTTTTCTCCTCTCCATTCAATACCCAGAAGCACTTGATTATATTTCATCCTTAAGCCAGCAACTTTGGGTTCAGAATCTAAGCTTCATGGTAACATGAGTAGGCCTATTACCACTAGCTCAGGTAAATGGGATTAAGAGGATACAGAGGTATCCCTTGGAATCCCAGGGCACGAAGTGAAGCTTGATCTCATGAAGAGCTGGACCTAGGCCTGAGAAGGCATCTGTGACCCTGGTGGCTTCTCATTCCATGTCCCGCTGTCCCTCACATCCCTTCTCTGGATATAGGCTCTATCACGGGCCTCTCTTGTCAGGCTGCCTTCATTTGTTTCCTTATGAGCACGTATAACCCCAAAACACTACCCCAGTCCTGCAGTCCACAGGGGAAATCAGTGACTGGTTTCCAGAATTAAAAGAGAGACAATCAGGCCGGGTGCGGTGGCTCACGCCTGTAATCCCAGCACTTTGGGAGGCAGAGGCGGACAGATCGCTTGTGGTCAGGAGTCCGAGACCAGCCTGGTCAACATGGCGAAACCCCGTCTCTACTAAAAATACAAAAATTAGCCGGGTGTGGTGGCACGTGCCTATAGTCCCAGCTACTTGGGAGGCTTAGGCAGGAGAATCGCTTGAACCCGGGAGGCGGAGGTTGCAGTGAGCCGAGATCGTGCCACTGCACTCCAGCCTGGGCAACAGAGCGAGACTCCATCTCAAAAAAAAAAAGATGAGAGAGAATCAGTTTAACCCAGCTCCTTGGTCAAGGACCCAGGCTGCGTCTAACTGGCTATGGCTGGCTGACTTGACTCCAATGCGGGACGGGGAAGCTACCTGCTCAGCTGGGGCTATTAGGAGTGATGGTCTTCAGAAAGGAGGGTGCACATGGGCCAACACTCCCACACTTATGGGTTTCAATGACTTGTCATCTCCTCTGGGAAGCATTCTCCACCTGATAGGAATCCTCATTCCCAGTTCAAACCGCAGGCCTCACCAGCTACTATTTGACTTTTTCATTGGGGAGTTCTCAACCCTGGTTGCATATTAGAATAATTTGGGGAAGTTAAAAAAAAAAGACCAGGCCCCACTCTCAACCAGTTATTTTTTTTCTTTCTTTCTTTTTTTTTTTTTTAAAGGCTAGTCAAGTGAAGCAATGGGAGTGGAGAAGGAACAAAGAAATCAGTAACTGGTTGTGATCAATTAGTTGTAAACACCACTGCACTGGGACCAGCCTCTCAACCAGTTAAATCAGAATATCTGGGTGTGTCATTGGGCATCAATGGTTTAAAAAGCCTCCAGGTGATCTTAATGTGCATCACAATTGAGAATCACTCAGCAGCCTTTGGGGTTGCCAATATTTGACATTTGTTACAGAAAACATATTTACTCCATGAACACACAGCCCAGGGCACTGCTCAAGGGATGGACCAGCATGTTGCTATACATTAGCTGGGTGCCTAATCTGAGGACACTCCAAATCAATGGCTTTTAATTTTATCTCTTACGTTTTTTATGGGGTTATGGGGTCTCGCTTTATTGCCTAGGCTGGCCTGGAACTCCTGGGCTCTAGCAATTCTACTGCCTCAGCTGCCTGAGTAGTTGAGACATAGGCATCTATGTCTGAGACCAGACCCCACTATCAATGGCTTTTAGGGTATGTGGAGATAGTCAGTGGCTCCCAAACACTGGTCTAAAAGTGGATGTTTTAGGAACATCTGTGAGTTATTTTGAAATACAGATTCCTGGCTTCCAATCCTAGAGATTCTAATTTAGTTGGTCCAGGTGGGATCAGAAAATCTGTATTTCTTTTTTTTTCTTTTTTCGAGATGGAGTTTTGCTCCATCACCCAGGCTGGAGTGCAGTGGCACAATCTTGGCTCACTGTAACCTCCACCTCCCAGGTTCAAGCAATTCTCCTGCCTCAGCCTCCTGAGTAGCTAGGATTACAGGTGCCCACCACTGCGCCCCGCTAGTTTTTATAGTTTTAGTAGAGACAGGGTTTCACCATGTTGGCCAGGCTGGTCTTGAACTCCTGACCTCATGATCTGTCCCCCTCGGCCTCCCAAAGTGCTGGGATTACAGACATTAGCCACCATGCCTGGCCGAAAAATCTGTATTTCAACTAGGCTCCTCAGGCTACCAGGTTTGGAAGCCAGACATCTCATTTGGCCCTTTACCTGGTATTGGTAAAGCGGGGTAGTTTGGTGGACCATCCATATTCAAATCCCAAATTCATCACTTACAAACTATGTGGACCATGGGCAAGTTACTTAATTCCTTTTGCTCTAGTTTCTCCATCTATAAGATGGGCATAATTCTATCTATATCATGAATTAATTGATTCATAAAACACAGTAAGTGCTAGCTATTATTATTAAACTACTTCCCATGGTGCCTGGCATATAAAAACCCTTAATAAATAGGTATTATCATCCTTATTTTATACATATAAGGTAATAAAACAATTTAGGAGTTTTAGTAGACTCAGCAATGCATTGTGGCCACCAAAGGATGTCATGCCGTATTAGGCAACATTAATGGAAGCATCGTATCTAAGACAAGGGAGTGATAGTCCTATTTCACTCCCTGCAATGTTCTGTGTTCAGTTTTGGATACCCTCCTCCTGGGATATAAGCTAATTAAAATGAGTTCACGAGGATGGGGAGGAGGCTCTAGGCCATAGCATGTACAAATGATATAAGGACCTGGGAATCTTTAACCCAGGGAAGAGAGCTGTCTCATGGAGTACTGATGTTTTGTAAGGCATCAAAGAGTAAACCTATACATGGGGGTAGAACTCTGATATATATATGGACTTCAGATGAATCAGAGGTGTCAAAGATGACAGAGGCTGCTTTGCTTTAGGTGGTGAGTTTTCCGCCCCTGGATATGATCAAATAAAAGCTGGGTAGCCACTAGGTAGGACTTTGGTCATAGGAATTATCACACCAGTTTTCTCCTCATAGTTAAGTTTTCAGACACATTCTGAGAAGCACACCAACAAAAAAATTGGGCAGCAACAAAAGGAAAACAAGCAGAGCAGTTACCAAACATTAATCTGTTGGTTTTGGATTGCAGGAAGATATGGCTGAAGCTGAAAGCACAGGTGAAATGACAGGCAAAGGGGGCAAAACTGTTGGTGAAGGTGAAACCGAAGAGAAAAGTGGGGGTGAAACTCAACCAGAGGGTGAAGGTGAAACTAAAGACAAAAGTGGAGGTGAAACTCAACCAGAGGGTGAAGGTGAAACTCAACCAGAGGGTGA